CTCTTCCCATTTTCTCTGAGTTGTATTCTGTCCTTACCCAACAGCCATGGTTAAAGCTCTTCTGATGGCACGGTCTAAGCAGCTTTCCGTTTTCCTTCTGGCTCCAGCCGTTCTTGCCAAAGTTGCAGTCCCCACCATCTTGGCTGCCAGCTCCAGCTCCAGCCTTGATGGGAGTACCAGTTCTCCCTGTTGCATACAGAATTTGAAGGTCATCCAGCTGAGCTGTAATACTTCTAAACCTCCTTTTTTCATTGGATCACAGTGCAGCAGATAGAGAGAAGCAGTCTGCTACAGGAACTCAGCAAATTTCATGGGGCCCACTAGAGTAGCGGACCAGACAAGGAGGAAGGAAAAGAATGTATTTTTAAAAAATTTTATTAAGGTATTGTACTTTCTAAAGCAGTTTGTTAGAGCAGTAGTGAGTTATGCTTATAACTTTCCATAAACTCTCCATATCCGAGGTGCAAGTGTGCTTGCCATCTGTGCAGAAACTTTTCAGGTGCTCCGTGAGGTCCTTTCCCCATCGGTTTGGTGCTTCAGCAGGCACGCTGAAGGCATTTCAACTTGGCCTCGGCACAAGTATTTTTTGTTTATTTGGAGGGACATTCTGCAAACAGCCATTCTCCCTTTTCTTTTTGAACCTTTTAGGAATAACATCACATGTTAGGACTTCTTCCATAAGCAGTCCTGCATGGAAAACTGTAGAAAAATATGAGATTTTCAATTTGGAACAAAGGCTTCCAAAAGCACATACTAAGATGTCTGCGGACAGTCAGTTGTCCAAAAAAAAGGAAAGAATATTGAGTAATAAAGAAAATTGGTTACATGACAAGAATTAATAAAATGACCAGTAAATGTCATCTTCGCTAATAAATTTTAATTCCCCAGAATTGCATTTATCTCATGTATTGACACATTGCGATTCATATACATATCCGCAGAGTGTGCCATTCAGTGCTCTGGCAGCTTGTAATAAATCCTTCTCTTTGGAAAAAGAACAGCTTTGTTTTGGTTTATAGTTGTTATGCCCTTGTTATCTTGGGCGTAGCTGCCACTGAATTCTATCAACCTATCTTTCTTCTGCTTGTAGAACTTCTGCAGTTTTGGGGTTTTTTTTCCTCTGGTGAATGTGTCAGCTCGATATTCCAGCTTTCTTACAGCTGTAAAACTTGCTCATGCCTTTTGGAGTAGCGGGTGTTCTGGCACCTGATATGTTGTGCTGTATTGGAGGGCCAGATGAAATATCCCACCGAAACTGGTCGAAGGGCTTGTTTCTGTGGGTGAAAATTTACTGTATGCACCCTGTGTAAGGCTGGAATTGAAGAGTTCTGAAATGATATAGCTTAATAAAAGGATGACGGGGTTTTTTTGTGAAATATAGATGGTGTTTCCCATGAGCCATTTAAAACTCAACTGATGTCATAAATACAAAGAGCTAGACTTAAGGGCACTATTTCTGGTGACCTCTCCTAACACTGCTAAGCTTTTCCCAAGAGTTCAGCATTTTAGAGGTTATACGGGAGCAGAGATTTTTTAAAAAGTGCTCTGAAGGTTACCGTCCTTCTAAGCCTGTGGTTTTTGTCTATTAGTATCTCGTTTGGGCTGCTGTCAATCTTGATCAGTGCAAATAAATCACTGCAGTTTCCTGGCTCCGTCTCATCTTTAGGATTTTGGAACGCTATGTCCAAGATCAGATTCCCGGTGCGACGGTCGTGGTGGAATCCATCGGTGCGCGGAGGTTTGGTGATGGGTACTCTGAAGAGGATTACACCAAGTCTGACCTCATGGTCTACGCAATCGACCCGCAAACAAATAGAGCTATAATGAGGAACGAACTTTTTAAGTAAGTATATTATTTATTGCTCTTCCTATATTTCTATGAACTGTTTTGAAGCCTGTTGGTCTGTCTCTGTTAGCAAGTGGTTCAACACAACAGGAACAGAAAAATCTATTGAAGCAGTTGGTGTGTGCCCCTACACCTACCCAATGTGCAGCTTGGGAGTTTACAACTTTAGTAGATTCAGTCCATTCCCTTGAGCTGAACGGCCCCAGTACATGTGATTTAGACACTGTCGCCATGAGAGCTTGCAATACATTTGGTCCACCCTGTGGAGGAGCTTCCAGTTTAAATTCCTCTGAAGGAATTTAATTTCTATGTACCAAAACATCTCTGTGATCTCTAGGCAAGGGCTTTGGTGCCCCAGTCATTGACCTTCAGGCTTTCTGCAGTTTGGAGCATCTCCCTCTCTCTTCTCTTTTTTGTGGAAACCAAAGGAGAAGAAGAAAGGGAAGGGGAAGGAAGAGAGGTGGTGGGCACCTAGTCTGAAGCATAGACATCGGGGCGTGACCCAGGCGTACATCTACATGCAGGAGATCAGTAGTGCTCACAGGTGCCCATCTGCATGGGCCCATCCCACCAGCTGCTAGAGGAGATGGTGAACAGCAGTAGACAGGCCACTTATATTCATAATTTGATGTTGTTTTGCCTTTTCAATTAACTTCCAAATTAGCAGTTAAATTCCAGCGTCACATGAAACGTAAGAGATGGCTTTTTATTGACTGACTATCCAGCATGTTGCCCGTGAATGGGCCAGCTCTGGTCCCGGCAGCAGAGCGGTTTGATAGGGTGCCACTCTGCCTGGGGTTTGCACCTTAGCAGAGCTCCGGTGGGATATCACTCTGGCACGCCACTGCTTCGGGGGCCAGTGGTAACTCCGCTCTCTGCCTGCATAAGAAGAAAAGCCAGAGATTATATGGGTAAGGACATGAAATTAAGGTACTGTGGTTTTTCTGAGTCATTGCTAGCGCCAAGTAGGTTCTAAGACAAAATTAGTATCTCAACCCATTCAGCTGCCGATGTATCAATATGGCTGTAGAATCATTTTGTTAGAAACTGTATTTTTGTGTTTCAGCATCCTGCATATGATTCAAAACAATGAAAATGCAAATCAGGCTCTTCTTCTAAAGCAGCCGCTATCTTTTGGGTTTTTTTGCATGTGTTTCACCTTTGTGTTCGCTTTTTCTCTCAGTGAAAACTAGACCAGACTGTTCCATGACGGTATAAAGCAGCGTGTCAGTCAGCAGCCGAAAAAGCAAATGACTGTGAGCCATCTCGGTGGACTGTGATTGAAAAAGGGCTTGTTCTCCCGAGCTCTTAATTTAGTACAGATGAATTATAGCATACTAACGCTCTGCATATATTCAGAGTTTATAGGTTGGAAAAGATCACTGTGATCAGTCTGACCTAGTATAATAAAGACCATAGGAACTCTCAAAATTATTCTGCTTTGTGTCGTGTCTTTCAGCAAAGCAACTGCTCAAGAAAATCCAATCAACTACAACCTTTGTGTTGTTATTGCAGGGTAGTTATTTTTACTGTCAAAATTTAGGCCTTTTTTCCTTTTTTTTAATTTGTCTAGATTTAGTCATGGAGTTTTATTATAACTTTGGGTGCTAGATTGAAGCATCCAGTTGGCTAGATTGAAGCATCCAATCTAGGCTTATGATCACATCTTCCTTTTAAATTTTTTCTTGAGAAGTTCCTTGACCTCTGCACTCTGGGCTATGTTTTAATTCTTTTAATCACTTACAGTTTTCTCTAAACCCTCTCCAGTCTTCCAGCATCACTTTCTGAACTAGGAATATAAAAATCAGGTGCAGTTGAGCAGTGGTAGCTTTCAGAGCGGTGGCAATACAGCCTCCTTCCTTCTGGTGGCCATTTTTTGTTTGCAGGTATCTCCATGGTCATACAGTCTTTTTAGGTCTCGGTGATGCACTGGGAGTTTGTGTTCACTTGTCCACTGCCAGAGCTGCTGATCGTCCCCAGAATGGGGTCTCTGTGATTTTTGTTCCCAATTTTATTCAAGAAGTGGAAATTAAGGAAACTTGGTAGGAAGCCAGCAGAAATCCCCGATAAATAAGCATTTTCCTTTCCCTCTAAGGAAAAGTGACAGTAAATCTGCTTCCAGTGCTCCTGTAAGTGACTCTTGTACCCCAACCCACTCCCAAAACTAGTCTCAATAAAATGTATTTTCCTACCTTACACCCAGACTACCTACTGATCCCTTTTTACCGTTACTTTTGCACTTTTACAGTTTGTAAATTCATTGAGGTCTGTGTTTTCTTCCAGTCGTAGCTGAAGTGGGATCCCATTAGAAATGCTCAAGGTCAAAAGGACATTATTCGGTGCTGTCTAGGTTCAGAAGATTTGTATGACGTTGATGACAGTTGAAAATTCTGACACCCTTTTACTCCTCACTTTGGAAAGCCCTCTGCAAATCTACTATTATTAGTATATGAAAGTGAGCTAGTATCCGAGCCTGGAGGCAGTTAGCTCTTTCAAATCCATAAAAAGAATCTTTTTTTGATGCAGACTCTCTTCATGGTCAGAAAATGTGTCCCTCTTCATTTTGGTGCCCTTTGAAAATATAGGAATGTCTTTTTAGGGATGTTTGTGTGTCCAGTGAAATGCACAGAATAGAATAGAGTTAAGATAGGTTAAAAAGCAGTTTTTCAAATGTGCAGGGAAGGTTATTCATTTGCCTGGTCTGCAAATGTATGGGGTATCAGCTTAGATGCAACCTCATTGCTTTTTTCTCTTTTCTCTCTTCAAAAGCGTTTAAATATTTACATCGGCAAAATCCTGGGGAATGCTTTCCTGCTTTAGGGTAGAGGTGAGTAAGTGTCAGCTTACTAAAGTAAGGAGAAAAACGAAGTGAGAGTTTGGTGGCTTGACATCTGAAGTTAACAAATTTTCGCTAGCAAGTGGGTGAACCTCAAGAGATTTGGCTCAGCTCAGGTGCTTACCCAAATCTAAAAAGAAATTCCTTCTGTGACCATCTTTCCTGGAGTTTTGATCTTTACAGGGATGGCTCAATGTTCCTCCTGCCCCAATCACAGGACACAGTAGCAATGGTTGTCCCCTCATTGGGAGGAGACTGCCAAGAGTCACAACCATCCTTCTGCCAGCCAGGAATCTGCTCCGGATCCTAGCAGGAAAGAGATCAATAGGAGAAAGGATCATTTAATAAACTGGATATGATGGGAGAAAGGTTAGAAAGTCAGAAAGAGATGGAGCCCCCTGTTTTAAAAACTTAATTAGCAATAAGGAATATAAATTTAGCCAAGGTATTTTCCAAGTGTTCAAAAATTTCATGATGTATACAGACGAGAGAATTGTACCAACAGCACAGATTTAGCACATGAATTCTACCAGTTGTGATTTTAACACAACTTACAAAATTATTGTGTATTGGAAGATACTTGTGGCTTTTCTTAAATGGGCTTTTTGGGAATGCCCTGCTGTTTCTGCTTATAAAACGTAGTGGAGGCCCTGACTTTAACTTTATGTTAAACCTGTCACTGTTTGAAAACAATTATCTGCAAAGGTCTTTTAAGGAATGTGGGGGCAAGTTGAGCACAGAGTGGAGCAGAGCGACCTGTTCCCCTTCGCAGGTGGGGTGCTGCTGGGATACAGGCAAATATCACTGGTGACTCCTCCTGGTTGGTGCTGGCAGCCAGGCACAAGTCAGAGCAGCACTGGGGTCCCAAAGGTGCTTGGCTTTGCACTGGAGCTGGGAGGAAAGGATAGTCAAGCAGCTAATGCCCGTCAGCAGCTGAGCAAAGTCACACTCATGACAGCACAGTCATCATGCAGCAGAGCTGCATTTCTACACGTAAACCCCACTAAACCGAAGCTAATGTTTGAGGCTCCCACAATCACCTCTGGGAAACGTCACTCCGATACGTCAGTCGTGTCCGACTGTCATTTATGAAATTAAGAGATACAAGGAGATGCAGCGTGCTCTGGATGTGCTGGATTAGTGCTGATGTGCACAACGATAGCGCATGCACAGACTGTGCCGTACTCGCTACCAGGCTATTTTGAATGCCTCACATCCACAAGTCCCAAACGAGTAGCCCAATCCCACATATTTGCATTCAAGCAAAATGTTTGGCTGGAAAACAAAGACATGATTTAGAAGTCATGGACATAACAGCCGCACTGTGTTTGTCACTGCCAGCTGGGGAAAATCCATGTGTCTCTCCAGACATGCTGAATTTTCCCTATCCTGTACTTTGTAAGACGGATATGCAATGAGAGATTCATACTTTTCCTTAAAACTGTTATGACTGATCACCTGACATTTTTATTAATCAGGGATCTGTCTGGTTACAGCAAAAAATGGGTCTGAGTAGTAACTGTGCTTTGTTATTTCCTCCCTCTACCACAAACTCCTAAAAGACTTTGAGGCCACTTAGATAATTTTACAGACTGAAATGATCAGCCTCCTTTTTTATCTTTTATATGAAAGAGGGTTTGATTTATTGGAGCATAAAAGAGTTGAATCCAGAAAATTTCTCCTGCATATATTAAGTGGAAAATGTCCACCATTAAAAATAAAATGCTTACCCTGTCTGAATCTTTTGCACAATGTGTCATGTTTCATCATGGAGTCAATGTGCATGGTTGAGTTACGAACCTGTTAAAATGGGGTTTGTCAAGAAAATGCTAACGGAATTTTAACTGAGAGATTGTGAAAATCGTCCAGAGGTTTAATGCTGTCCTAGTTGAATGCTTTTGCCAACTCAAAGGACGTGTAACATGCACCAGTGACATCTAGCGTACAACAAAAGAATTAGAGCTCCGTTTATACTCGGTTTATGCCTTGTGAACCACATTGCAGGTCTTTAAGCGGTGAAAAGGGATTTTTGCTCAAATACCAAGAAAATGTTTTGCAGAAGAAATCAAGGAGTTAGTTGGGAATATCAGCAGAGCATACTAATACAAAGGGAAGTTACTCTTCAAAACGCCTTGGGCTGCTTTTTGTGAGAGTGAGGGTCTGTGAGCGAGCAGCCGCTGCTCTTCTTTGAAGTTAGTATCATGAAACCAGCACCATTTCATCATTCGGGGTGAACTGTTCTGCACGTTATGAGATCCAGCTAGTAGGTTACACACGCAGATCAGAGTGCATTCTCCCCAAAGTTCAAAAAAAAACGGGGACAAACAATGCTAAGGGTTTATCAGTAACTTAATTTGAGAGGAAATCAGTTGTAAGAAATTACCACCCTTTAAGAAATGGTCTTTTAGGACTGTAATTTCTGTCTTGTGATCAGACTAAGGAAGTAAAAGCTATTCTAGACTTTGTTTAGACATTCAGAGTTTATATGCAGAAATCCTTTCAGAATATTTTTTTAGCTGTTGTTTTTTTGGGGTTTTTTATCTCAGCGTTTTTCACTTGACTTTCTTTCTCCAGGAGGACCACTGTACATGTAAGGGTCTGGGGTTCTGCTATATCCTCCTCCATCCTAATGGGTACCTGCTTTGATCTTTATAGCTGGAGCCTACTACCTGGCAGCTTGTGAGACAGTCAATCCTCACTTCAAAAGTGATCCAAGAATTTTTATTTTCCTTTGGAAGTTAAAGCCTTGGCCAATATATTTTTTCAAAAAAGCCTTGGCCAAAATATTTTTTCAAACTCCTGAAGTACATTTCTTTAACAAGCGTACTGTTTGCTATCAAAAAGTCATCCAATAGAAGATTTTCCGTCATATGGGAAATGAGGTCATTTGATCAGGATTTGCATTTGGCTACCTGTCTTTACACTGCCAATTATCAGATCAGGTACTGAACTTCTTCCACTGCATTTGCTTTTTCAGAGACCGTTCCAGTCCTTTGCTTAGTAACTGTTGTTCCAAGTTCCTCTCGTAGGTGATGCAGAAGCGGAAGGTGGACACTATTATAGGTTGCCAGCAGAGACAGCAGCGCGTGGTTCCTGGTTAGCGAATACCCTAGTTTTGCCGAGGACCCAACTCTGTCTTATCAGTGTGCCTCGTAGGCCTACTTGAAGGCAGTGGTTTTCTGATAGCTGTGTAGATAGCCTATTGTTCTTGTAATTAGTAATGTTAGTCACGATTGTTCTGGTATCTGGCGGTGTTTGGAGAACCCCTGAAGTTTAAATTACAGTTTATTATAAACATTTAGTGCTTTTCCTTTTAGAAGAGGTTTGAAACTCCAGAAGAAATGGGCTGCATCTTTTCAAAAACAGAAAAAGAGGAGGCCGTTTACAGTAATCCCCGTCTGTCATCTTTTGTGATGCTGCATCTTTTCAAAAACAGAAAAAGAGGCCGTTTACAGTAATCTCTGTCTGTCATCTTTTGTGACCTCCCATTTGACTTTAAGCAAAAAACGACAGATGATGTAGCATTTTCTAAAATGCTATTGTTTTCCTTGTTACAATTCTCCTGCATCTCCCAAGAATGTTGCTACAGATTCCACCCAAAAATTGCCGTGATGGAGAGGATGCTCTCAGATAGCCTGAAGCCAGTGAATAAACTCCCTCAGCACTGTGCCAAACGTTGAGAGGGCACATCCTTCAGCTGCTCTCATGTTCACTCCCACTGGAGATGAGTTCATCTGATCATTGTCCCTCTGTGTTTTCCTCTTGCCATCGAACAGTCGTGCTATGAGAGGAAAGCCTTAACTCAAATAATTCAATATGTAGTACCAGCACTACAATCTAAGAAAACAGCAGAGACATAGAGGCTAACTAGACAGAGCAGATGCGAGAATGAGGTTCAGAATTGATGCGGCTGGGGGGAACGGGGTGGGGATTAATAAAAACATAGTTTTTCCAAATCCCTTTTCTTTTTAATATTGGAAGGGAAGTCCAAAGGGAACAAACTGTAGGCTATCCCTCCTGCCAAAGAATTTCCTTAAGAAGCTGAGGAAAGTCCTCTAAAAATGACCCGCTTTTAGAGTAGCAGCAAGTTGATCTTTAGACCAGAGTGGCCTTCAGGGGTGTGTGCAGGAGGGTTAGTTAATTCTCTGCAACAGACCACTGAAGGAAAAAGCACAAAGCAAGCCATTTGCCATGCTGCTCTCAACGGCATGCAGAAGTTTTTGCCCCTAGAAATTAGGATAAGCTTCAGCTCACCTCTCCTTTTCAGTGTTTGAACTATGTTCTGGTATTAAGTACATTGGAGTTAACACTGACGTAGGGATTACCGGGAATTACTAATATTCTTAAGCACATAAAGAAGGGGGTATGTGCTTTATCAGACCACAGGTATTAACGCAACTCTGCCATAATTCAAACACAGTTAATGAACTTGGCTGTAATAGTTTTCTTTTGTGACATTGAAGGTTCCTGGATGGCAAACTGCTGGATATCAATAAAGAGTTTCAGCCATACCTGGGGCAGGGTGGACGCATCCTGGAGATCCGCACCCCGGACGTGGTAGCGAACGTGAAGAAGCAGGCGCAAGCCGTAGGCTACACGGAAGGCGCGTTACTTGCTCTGGCCGTCATAATCATCCTTTGCTGTATGCCAGCTATTTTAATAGTTATGGTCAGCTACAGACAGTAAGTACTCCTGCTCCTTTTTGTGGTAGCAACGTTGTAGTAGGGATGCTACGTTTCTTAGCAGAACTGCTTTGAAAATTATCCTTCATTGCAAGGAAATTATTATACAGGGAAATACTTTTAATTTCCCTCTCACCACAAGAGTTGGTCCGTGCTTGACGTGGGCTGTGCATGAAAAGAAAAAATGCACGGGAAGTGCATCTTGCTATACTTTCTAAAGTTGCGGTGCAGTAACTGTTTTAGAATATGTGCCGAAACACAAGATCAAAAAAAAAAGAGGAAAAAGGTGCTGTTTCAATAAATGAACCAAAAGTCAAATTGTGTAGCAAGGGCAAAATAAGAGAACTCAACTTTTTTGTTTAAATCCTAAAATACTCACAGTTACGTTTTTTTCCTAGCTGTATGCTTCTTAATTGCAAATGTTTCATGAAGAATTGATTTTGTGCCATTTTAGCGCTATCTAAAGCAGCATACACCAGAGGGAACCTTCTTGATACTTCCACTCACCTCTCATAGACTCAAGAGGTTTAAGTAATTGGGCTAATAGACTAATTAAAGGATCAACATCACTAACAAGTTCCTCTTAACTAAGCCTTTTCAAGTCCACTCGTCTTTAAAATCAATGCATTTGGACTTAAAGGCTGTATATTTATTTAATTTCTTCTCATGAAGGATTTCTAATTCCACATGCATGCTCTGAGCACACAAAGAATTACGAATCATTACAAAATCAAAATATAAATAATTCTGTGCATCTTCCTCAGTAAAATGTCTGTATTCGACTTCTGTATGTATCGGTCTGTACCTCCATATCTTTCTATCTTCATTTTAAAATTGGTGAACTAGCTGGTATATAATATGCCCTCATCATGGAAAACCTCTGCTCCACAGGACCATATAGGAGGGAATTCCCAGAGCCCTGCTGGATTTTTTGTTTGTTTGTTTTTCTTTTTTATTCATTTTGTTTCTCTTCACTGTGTTGAGGGCAATGAAATGTCCGTGCCTCTGCAGACTCCTGCTGCAGTGTTGCATCAGTCTGTAGGAGGAGAGGGCATGGAAGAGCTGATGTACATGTATTACAATAAAGCAATTACAATCTGAATGCTGTAATAGATGTGGTACAATACTCCAGGTGAGATTTAAACTGCATTTTTCCTTTCTGCATTGCAGTTAGGAGGTAGCAAAGCACTATGTTAGTCATCACTTAAAAAGCGTATCCTACATGAAAAAACAGTAGCCTGCCTGAGAGCACTTTCCTTAGTGACACCAGAAAAACAGCCAAGGATAGCCATTTCTTAATGGTTACTGCACGTTCTTTGGTTTATATTTATATCCCGGTTTCTGCAAACAATTTGGGTCAAAGGAAGAAGTCCTTTTTAAAGAAGTTTGAAAGAGCTTGACAAACTTCTGCGCCATTGGGATGCTAGTGCATCTCAAAGCTGCTTTACTTCTCCCAAAATTGTATATAAAATTTGCTTCCAGTGAAACACTACTGAACCAGTTCAACCTACAATTAATTTGTTGTTGTTGTTGTTATCTGAATTGCCTGTTTCTTTAAGAAAGCTAATAGCACTAATCAAAAGATTATCAATCTCTTTTAAGAGCTCTAAAGAATCTGCCTAACTTCATTCCATCAAAAAATCACATTTTTCTTGTCCAGAAGTATGACTTGGAGTTGGATTTATAGCAGACCAATGTGAATAAACTACACTTTTATGAAAAACGTATCACTGAAGAGTGCCAAAGAAAATAAAAGGAATTTTAGTGTTAATATCAACACCAAAAGCTATCCAGAGCCTTATGGTTTGTTTTTGCATTACAGCCTTTTTTCTCCTTTTCAAAAGGAGTTTCAGTATTTTTCCAGGTAACATTCTGGCAAAGTAGGTGCTCCAGTCTGCCACTGAGTGTAGAGATTATAGCGGGATAAATGTAACTGTCATACTCGCAGCACATATAATGGAAGTGTTAAGATTTTCTCACTGTTAAAGCTTTTTATGTGCAGTAAGTCCGTTTTTCAGTGCTTTCCAGATCAGTGATCAGCTTACTAAATTTTGTAAAAACAATAGTTACTGACAAGAAAACTCATTTAATTTATAAAATTATCACTGTCAAAGTGCAGCTCAGTGCCTACATTTATGACGTGTAAACAAGCCAGAAACTATCGTTATTCTTTTCTATTAAATAGTGCCTTTGAAATACACTACCCAGTACAACCTCATAAGGTAACTATAAATAATGTATTATTTACTGATCACAAAAGACCAGTATCTTCTAAATAGCAACCAAAAATAATACTCCTTCACTATTGAAGATGTTTTCTATAGCATTCTTGAGAATGAGAAAACAGTTACAAAACTGCATCCCTAGTAGTTCATCTGTTAAAGAAATATCACGAGGCCTATTCACGTTTTCATGTCTTACCCTTTCCTCTGTGTCTGCATGTGTGTGGCAGGGACTTATTTTCTGTAAGCCCAAAGCAGCTTTCCCTGCTGTAATTCATGTTTATGCTGACTGCAAAATTGTTTCAAGAGTATCACAAATAGCAGCTAAGCACTGTTCAGCTCTGGAAATTATGATTCTTTAAACATGTCATTAATTCTTTAATTTTGTATGTGGAAAGTAGCGTCTAGTTTATTACTCCTATTGGGTTTGCTGTTTAGGACAATTGTTGCAAACGGAATTCATTTAACTTTCCTTTTTATCTCTTTATCTTTTTTTGCATAACAAAACAGATTCAAAGAGTAAGTACTTATTTTCAGCTTTGTTTCTAACAGCTTGCATAGGAATACTGACAGCCTACTAGTCTTTATTTTTAAGAAGAAGGGGTACTTGCCATTCAGTAAGAGTTACTTCCTATACTCCAGCTTGTTCCTGAACACCGTGTATGGCAAGGTTAAAAGTTACTTATATGGCTGCTCAGTTTATTTTATTATTGCATGCTAGCACGCATTAAAGATACTGTGGTTCCGCCTGTTTTCTGCAGAGAAAAAAGTAAATATTTCCATGTGTGTGGTATTCCTCAAGCAAGCAGGTGCATGTCAGGCTGGAGTGGCATAGAGAGACTTCCCTGGGAAGGATCAGGTATTGAGCACCCGCAAAACCAAAACGAGGTAGATCAGTCACGTCACCTCAGTGACACTCCCCCGGTTACACATGTCGGGGACCCAGGCTTAGTGTTCTAAATAGAAAATAGAAATTTGTTGCATTGTGAAAATAATTTTTTCAGGAAAACTCTTCATTGAGAGGGAAATTTCCCAGCCAATTCTAATGAGAAAGGAGTTGTAAGTGATAACTTAAACTTTGCCAGAGACTTTGTGTGTGTTTAAAATTACAGTTTCTTGGCACTTGAATGATGCACTTGACCAAAGCGCTTACTCTCCCCACCGTTAGCCTTGGGCAGCCAGAAGAGATAAACCTCCTAATGAGAGCAATGTCAAAGCTAGCACATACGTTATTTCCTGGGAAATACCTGCTGTGTCAATGCCGTCCTGCTGGTCAGGAGGTTTCTGTCCAGGGGGAGCTCTGGGATTCCACCAAGAGAGAACAAATAATGGAGAGCTGAAAAAGCCAGGAAAAGGTTATCACGTTATTACTTTTCTTTGAAGAAGACAAAACACAGGGTTGGTTTGAAAACTGCAGGAAAAAACATAGAAAAGTTTACGTCTCAGCTTATGTTAGGGTTTCTAATGAGTATTTCTCCTTCCCTACGTGGCTTACCAAAGGCGACAGGCCGAATGTGCAAAGACTGCGAGAATCCAGATGGCTTTACCAGCAGGCAAACCAGCAAGCACCGCTGCAAATAACCTCTATGAAGAGCTTGGCGACAGCACCATGTAAGTATTCCTTGTGCTACATCAATAAAATTGTTAGTGACCGAAGCCATGATTCGCTTTGCAGGGATATCGCTTCATGCAGTCTATGTCAAAATGTGTTTTCTTCATGAAGGGGTCTTTCCCCAGCTGCTTGGGGTTCTCAAACATCCAGAAAATAAACAGAAGGCCTCTGTGAGGGGAGAAAAAACAATTTAACCTGCTAATGGGGATTTCTTGTAGTGCATGGGGGAATCTTTAACAGCCTTTAAGTTGGCAAAAAGCAGGGTATAACCAGATGGTTTTTTCTAGAGCAAGAGCCTACAGCAGGCCATGCTACCAGGGTGAGCCAGGACTGGGCTCCTTTAGAGCCTTTGCTCCAGGCCAGCATGCCACGTTTTTCAAAGCTATTGACTAAACACATCCGATGAAATTGCTGCCCAAAAGTCCCCGTTTGCGGTAGTAAGAAATATTCTGTTGGGTAAAGTGGGGGGTTTTGTTCTAAATTTGAAACTGTTTGAATATTGAAATTAAAGATAAAGGAACTATCAAAATAGAGAAACCGCTGGCAGTTCAATGAATGTATCTTTTACCTATTATACGCTCGTAAAATAATCATAGTGCAAAGATGCCTACGTTTTCATCCTTCTGTAAACCTGAAGTTTATGGACTCCAACAACAATTTAATTCTCAGTATGAGAATATTACAGCGGAGAATAGGCAATTAATATCTATATCATACTGGGGGGGTTTGTTGATAAGCTTGCCACACTTACTCGTCTATGTTTATATTTTAAAACCAAGTAACGCTGAAGAGCATAGCATTAATAATATGTTTGCAGGCAGGTAGAGAGAGAGAGCTGCTGGTGGTGGTGTTGAGGATTGCCCAACTTCTGCTCTATTTTCAATCATTATTTGTTTTGCTCAGAAAGTTGAAATTTTACAGGTGCTGAGATTGAGTTTATAAAATGTTAAGGATGCATGACAGAGCATATCACTGCTGCTTTCACTCTTGGTCATCTGAGCGCAGTCTCTGCCTTTGAAATAATTCCAGAGCTTGAGCTTTTCTGTGTAAACAGAGGAGCTATACTTGAAGCGAGAATAGCTTCTCCGAACTGCTGACTTTCCTCCCATGCCTTTTGCCTTTGTGAAGTGTTACTGCTTGGGCAGGAAGGGAGGAAAAAGGTATGTTTGGCAGTCGCATTTCTGAATGTGAGCACTTCTGCTTGTGAACCCCATGAGATCACATCTGTACACATACAGTGAGGTGCCCTGCTGGAAAAAAATTCCTGTTTCTTTTGCATTTCACTAAATTTCTACTGAAATTAATGACTCGCTTCTACTAATTTTACTGGCAGTGACATAAAGCTGATCATCTGTGGGAACTGGATGTCCCAATGAATGAATCCGTTTTATACTGATGAATACCTTATGCTAAACCCAGAACAAGCTGCATTTTGCTGGGGTTTTACCTGCAGAGATTTTTTTATGTTTTAGTACTGCAACATAGTGGTGCAAATTTACAGTTTGCAATATTGACTTTGAGGCTTAGATTTATGTTCATTTTGACTAAAAATAGTTTTCATTGCACCGAAAAAGATGTCATATTTGGAATATTTTCTCTCAGATGTCTTTGCATACAGCTGAGATAAACACATATCCATCATGTTAAGGAACTGATTAAACATAAATTAGTAAAAATCCTTACAAAATAAATTAATATCCTTAGGATTTTAAAGAAAATAACATGCTTCAATAAAAATAATTACAAATTATCTTTCTTTTTCTATCAAATATTTGATTTCAAGGCACTGGTATACCTTAGGAAATTATTCGTTGGGGAATACCTTTTATTAACGTTTTTCATGAATTACAATACAATATTTCCTGTCTTTAGTTATCCTAAGACAGTCATCTTTCATTTGCAGTGCTGCCTTGTGTCTTGTTTTCTTAATTTGGTGTTTATAGCAAATGAAATGGAACTAAGCTCTTTAGTTTTAAATCTGCCTTGTCTTATAATTTTCATTTTCCTCTGTCTTTGGATACGTAGGCATCAGTAAGTAAGCTCATTTCATTGTCTTAATATTTGTAGCTAGTAGAAACGCTAGTTAATTTTCCTTTCAGTGATTCCCATTAAACCTTGCAATCTAAAACTCATATTTTATTTGTCCATTGATCAAATACAGGAAAGACATTTACTGTGAAGTTTCAATACTTCTATGCTTCTTTATCCTTTTCTTGGAAGTGGAGATGAAGTATGATTACTGAACTTGAATGGTATTATTTCTAAAGCCAAATAGAGCCTACTACCTTAAAAAAACAAAAAAACTTCCAACACTGAGCGCATGCACAAAGGTTTGCTCTCAGTTCATGGACTTAAGAACTCACAATTGGATGCAAGCAAAATCTTTCTTGTCTGCTATTTACAATTCCTTGCAAGGCAAGAATTTTCTTGCAATTTACAGAAATGTGCTTTAAACTAGTGAGCTGATGTTTCTCATTGATTAAAATACTGATACATAAACAGAAGAAGATTGCAGGATAACCACCTCATCCTTGAGAGGCATCACGTGAAGCAAGGAAGGAACTGAGAAGCTTTTGAAATAATCTGTTCCAGTAGCATAAAGGTGATGTCATCTTGCATGAGCCTTCTACTGGAGGGTTTCCTTCAAGTTCAGAATCACTCATTTCTCTCGCCTCGAAATAGACCGAGGGTGCTTGACCAACCTCAAAGTATGCTGCTTTAGAATAAAGAATTAGTTTATTATTAGTGTGAAATCAATTATTTTTCGTACAGTTGTATTCTGCCCAAAGGCAAGCCTTAGGCATACTGTTTTTTGGAGAACTGCAGTACTTGGGGAGAGTTTATTCACTGGTGTAACCCTTCGTGGCTTTGCTGGGCGTTATTCGCAAATGGGAGTGTGATCCCTGCACTCTGTGCAGTGATTCTTCTCACCGATCCTTTCGGGTCCCTGTGACCATTAGGAAGCTGTAGTTTCTCTGTGTGGGTGACCTCCCAGTCAAAACAAGAAACAAAAGTTAAGAAGCAAATGTGTTTCATTACTAAATACAGGCCTTCGGGGGACTTTTACGTAGTAAATAACTTAGAGGAGCTTTAATATCTCTTAATTAACTTCTATCCAGTATCTAGTTATTTAAGTTTCTCTTCCAGTTTTGATAGGGAATATTTAACCACTAGAGGTTAAATTTCCATTAATTTAGATTTGGTAATATTTTCTGAGATACAAAAAAACACCACCAAAGAAGAGGGAACAATCTGACCCGGAGGTCTAAAACTTTATCTTCCAGCATTCACGTAATCACGTAAATGTCATTTTTCCCCTATTCCTTTTGTTAATAAAGCCTAACCCTTTTTTATCTAAATTCTAAAGAATACAACTCAAATTTTGTTAGAGACAAGAGTTAGAATTTTTAAATTAGGTTTTGTGGAAATATTGGGCAGCTCTAAGTCACTAAAAACAGTTTTATATGGTATTTTTGATTTTTGTGTGTGTAGAAGTCATTGGTACTCATGCTGTACTTTAGCTGCAGTTGCCTAACTGCAGAAAATAGAAAGGTTTTAAGTATGGCATTCAAAATGTGGAGTACCAGCATTAGGCAGAGGCAGTGAAGCTGTAAGTGAATTGTACAAAAGTGGAATGCCATCTTCATACCCCGTTTCTACCATAACGTCCCCTTATGCCATCATATTCTTACCATAGCCTGTCTTACGGATAAATTTAGTATCTCGGAGAGCTTTTTAGAGTAGGTGTCCTTTTTAAGACTGGTTTTTGGTGGGGTTTGTTGGGGTTTTTTTGCATCCCCATGCTAGACAGCACATCTGTTTAGTTACAATAAATTTGTGTATGGCGATGGAAATGCATTTTGATTCGGTCTCATTGCTGATGAGGGTAACCTTCTCTTTGAAAGGATAAGGGCTTTGGTTTTAGCTTTATCTGACGTTGGCCAGTATCTTAAATTTGTCACAGTTTGCGGGGAAAGAAGTTTATTTTCAGCCTCAGGTAAGCATTATTTAAAATAGGGCGCTAAGGGCACACTTTTCTAGCTGGCAGTTTGGACATATTGATTTTAAAATACTGGTTATCTTAAAATCTACTCAGAAGTTTGTGGTATTAAAAATATTTGAGGAATGTAGGTTAACGAGGCACTCAGAGGTACTAGATGACTTCCAGAAAATGGTGAGACTTTTGGAGGTAGAAATTCAATGTAATCCAACTGCAGGGGTTTTTCACTTGGATTAACGTGGTGCAGAGATGAAATTCATACACTTATTTCTGCATCAATATGTGTATCGTAAATGCAAGAAACAATGCCCAGCTTGGTAATTCTTTAAGAATCGGTGTCGGGAGAATGGTCTGAGTACAATACACATCTCAGCTGACTGGCTTTGGCTCCCGTTGCCTGCCTCGCAGAGACCCTACAGGTCTACACTTCGGGTGTGCGCGGGTGCACCTCTGACTCCTCCCGGGGCCATGGTTTCACGCTCACCATCGGCTCGAACCACAGTTCTAATTTTGTGTGTGACCTATGGCCAGTCCCTAAAAAGCAATGCAGGCACACTTAAACACTGCCTAATAGTACATGTGTTTTCTAGAACAGCAGTTTTGATGCACAATTATTATAGAACAGGTTTAACGTAAAATCCCTGTGAATATTCGGTGTTGGCTGTGTGCAGTATGGCACAGGGCCACTGCCATTTGAATGATGGAGGCACAATTATACATACATACAGTATACATATCATGATTCCATATTATCTCATAGAGAAACTGTTTCGCACAACTACGTAGCATTGATGTTTTGTGTCATTGGGGAGATAGTGTGCAGTATTGACTGATACTTTTGAAATCTAAGTGGTTTTTTTTAAGAGGTTAACTTATTTTTGAACTTGCTGAGTAGCTGAAAATTTGTTTTGATTTTTCTTCCTCCTCAAGTCCTCCTCCCCTAAAGAAGATGTAAAAGTAAATGTCTTGCCCAGTAGTCTAGTAAATGTGATCTTTCTG